CCAGCACCAAATCGATCGCCAACCACTGAGATCTTAAGAGCAAGGAACATTGAATTTGTTACGGAAGACGTATCTTTGAGGAGAAACAGTGACTACAAACCTCTGGATATCTTGTGCGCACATCCATATACACACGAGCCATCTGTACATACAAAACAAAACTTCTTCGACTAAGATTTTAAAGGTACGTGGTTCAATTTAACTGCACTTAATTTTATTGTGATATGATTGTTTAGTGAAGAAAATATAAAATAAATCAAAACTCGAGAGATTTTTTTTTGAAAATATCACCCAACAAGCATTTCAGTAAACGTTTTTAAAAATAACTTAAATTAAGTTTGCTATAATAAGCGTTAAATAAGCATTTTTAATATTAAGCTTATTAAAAGTTTTTTCAAACAAACCTTTAATAAGTTTTGAGAGCGAATGTTTATAAATAACTTAAACTTATAAATGAAATGTAAATGCCAACGACATGAAGTAGTAAATATAAAATTTTTTCAATCGTAAGTGACGTGTTTACGTTTTTTAAAATATATTATTAAAAGAAAAAATTAAATAAAACCAATGCGGTAAAACAAGAAAATCCAATCCAGGACCCGCTGCGCTAGTCGGTGGAGCATTCGAGCCTTCAAATGATGAGTTCCCCTTATCCTTTCTTAGTTTAACATTCAATTAAAAATGTATTAAATTTTTTTCAGAAAAGTTCATCAATGAGAATGGTGGCGATAAAGCGCAATATATAGCTGCATCGATGTCCCTTTTTTAATTTGCCAATAACCGCAAGTAATTGAAAGCACGCAACAAGATGTAATAATTAACTTTTTTATGCTTAATTTGTATGTGTTATTGTGAATTTGTATGCTAAAATGTCTATTTCCTATTTATATTTTCGCGACTGTAGATGAGTCCGCGGAAAATTCGCATTTCGTTTAGTTTCTAGATGTTAAGCAATCTATGTATGAGGTTTTAATGAAATATCTTTAAATAAAGGGTTATAAAAATGTTTATAAAAAGCTTTCTTTTGAAAATTTTTAGTAAGTTTATATTGATACGCTTATATAAAACTTTTTTTGAACCTTTATTATAAGTTTACACTTTTACGCTTATAAAAAGCTTTCTTTTGAACATTTATTACAAGTTTATATTTCTACGCTTATAACCAATGTTCCTTTTCGATTATATTACGCTTACTTTCAAGCGTTTTATAAACAAAAAATCAACGTTTTGTAAGCTTAATGTTTATAATTGAAAACTTAAAAAAACTTTCTTTAAGTTTATTTTGCTTGTTGGGCAGTGACACACACACGCATATATTAACATACATAAGTGGGCGCTACAGCCATTTTCATAAAGAACGGCAGGTTTTGTTTGTTGTTGTTGGCTTTCAATTTATGCCATATCATTGCAAGAAGTTTCACTCGGAGATTAATTTAATCAGTTTAATTTTAATAATCATATTTTCTTTGTGACTTGCTCATTTTTGCCTGAATTCGCCAACTACAACAACACTGCACTTTTTCCGGTTTTATAACCACACTTTCCACTGCACTTAACCTTGCGTAGTATAAAGGTCACTTTTGTAATTGAACGAACGAAAGTCAAAAAATCACTCGCGCTTTTGCTTTTAAATTCAATAAATACAAACAAAATCACATATACTGGGAGCCTATTGTTAAAAAAAAAAATAAAAATAATAAGAATAATTGTAGTGCACGTTATACACCCAACAAGCAAAATAAACTTAAAGAAAGTGTTTTTTAAGTTTTCAATTATAAACATTAAGCTTACAAAACGTTGATTTTTTGTTTATAAAACGCTTGGAAGTAAGCGTAATATAATCGAAAAGGAACATTGGTTATAAGCGTAGAAATATAAACTTGTAATAAATGTTCAAAAGAAAGCTTTTTGTTGTAATTATACTCGAATAAGAATAATTAATTGAAATATGATTTATTAAGTAAATTCAGATTTGTTACAGAGTTTTACGTGATGACTTGAATGCAGCAAAAAAACGAGAGAGAGAGCGGAAAAGGAAATTCAGTTTATGTCAAATATACAGTCCAAGAAGCATACATATGTTACTAAAGATAAATTTAGTACATGTTGTTGCCACACGTTTTATTTTACAAAGCGCTATATACTTAACACTCCCTCTCGCCTTTTAAAAATAAAATTATTCAATGAAATTCAGACAAGAGAAGATTCAACAAAATTATTAAATTTAGTCTTTGCTAATGCCTTAGTTAAAATGTCAGCCAGCTGCTTCTCAGTTTCTACGTATCGTACATCGATTGAACCCTCATTCTGCATGTCACATGTATAGAAATACTGAGTGTCAATATGCTTTGTACGCTTTGAAGACTCCGGATGCTTAACCAATGTTATGGCTCGTTGATTGTCGCAATATACAGGAGTTGAAGTTTTGCATTCGCTATTTAAGTCTGCAATCAGCTTTCTCAGCCAGGCTACTGCCTTTGTAGCAGCGCACAGAGCTAAAAATTCAGCTTCTGTTGTTGAAGTTGCAGTAACAGTTTGTTTGCGCGAACTCCACGAAATCGGAGCGTTGCTGAGAATGGCAATCTATCCTGTCGTACTACGCCTGGTTTCGGTATCTCCTGCCCAGTCGGAGTCACAATACATTTCTAGTTGAGTACATTCAGAACCAATATCGTATGATATACCCCTGTCGCGCGTTCCTTGTAGATACCTAAAAATTCGTTTAATACCTTGCCAATGATTCTCGGTTGGGTTCTCAACAAATCTACTAAGTACACCCACAATGAATGCGATATCGGGTCGAGTACACACCATTAAATACATTAATGATCCAACGGCTTCACGATACGGGTACTTCCCTTCATTTAAGGAGTTTAGTTGCTTTGAATAATGTATACCTGGTTCTGCTGGCGTCCGTGCAGCGCGACAATTGTCATGATTAAATTTTTCTAAAATTTTGTTTGTGTAAACCCGTTGAAATACTTTAAGCTTCTTATCATTCTTCATTATCTGCATTCCAACGAAAAATTCTGCTGGTCTGTAAGTAATTTCAAACTCATCATGTAGAGCCCTCAAAAGGTTTTGGATAAAAGTTATGTCATTGCCACATAATAGTCCATCGTCGACATAAAGAGCGAGATAACTTGTTGAAATCAATTGGTTGTAAACAAAAACACATGTGTCTGACTTTGCTTGTTTGAACCCGAAGCTAACTAAAAACTTAACAATCCTCTTATTCCATTGACGGGACGCTTGCTTCAATCCATACAATCCTTTTCGCAAATGACACACATCATTACCTTTCTGAAATCCATATGGCTGTTCCATAAAAATGTCTTCATCCAACTCTCCATGCAAAAACGCTGTCTTTACGTCGAATTGGAAAATATCCATATTAAGCGCCGCTGCAATTGCCAGTATTGTCCGCACAGAATCGTACCTAACTACGGGAGAATATATTTCATTATAATCAATACCTCCCTTTTGTGAGCATCCACGAACGACCAAGCGCGCCTTGAATTTATCAATGTCACCATTCGAGTCGTATTTCCGTTTGAATACCCATCGATTTGATATGACATGCATTCCCTTTGTGCGCGCTACCAAAGTCCAAGTTTTATTTTTGTGCAAAGAGTCAAGCTCGTCGTTAATCGCCTCTAACCACCTACCCGCATCATCACCATGCATAGCTTCCTCTAAGTTAAGTGGTTCCAAAACCGCGACACACAATTCTGCATCAATCGAGCTATTATTGTCCTCAGGCTGCTGCTTAGCTGCCCTTCTGGTATTGTATGGGCTTCGAAAAATAGGCATTCTCGGATTTTTGCGTACTGCTTCGACATCACTTCCCGCATCACTATCAGTTTTACGTTTTTCTACAGCAATGTCGTCCGTTTCATTACACTCGTTTTGCTTTTGCTCTGTTATGTAATTCTAACTCTCTTTATTTTCATTAAAAATTACATCTCTTCTTATTAGCAATTTTCTGTTCGCCAAGTCATATATGCGATAAGCTTTGCTGTCATCATTGTATCCAACCATTATGCATTTTAGTGAATTTCGCTCCCACTTCGTTCGCTGTTCTTTCGGTACATGTACGAGAGCTTGGCCGCCAAACACTTTTAAGTGAGCTACTGTGGGCTTCGTTCTAAACCATTTTTCGTAGGGGGTGCAGCCACCAATAACGTCAGATGCAATGCGATTTCTTAAATACACCGCGGTATGTGTGGCTTCTGCCCACAAATAAGTTGGTAAGTTTCTTTCGTGCAGCATTGCTTTAGCATGTTCTACCACAGTACGATTTTGTCGTTCAATGAAACCATTTTGTTGAGGCGCCCTTGGAGTAGTCACCTCATGCTTCACACACTGTTTCAACAAGAAATTGTCTATTTCCGCATTGCAGAACTCTAGACCTCCATCTGTTCTCAACCGTTTAACCTTGTGGCCATCTGCTTGAACATCTGCAAAGAACGTCATTAGCTTTGATAAAACATCAGTTTTATTTTTAAGGAAATAAACAAAACAATATCGACTGAAGTCATCCTTGAATAGCATAAAGTAATTAGCACCTCCAATTGATGCTTCACTCATTTTTCCACATAGATCTGCATGAAATGTTTCTCCTGGTGAACTTGCTCGTTTTGCCCCTGATTTCGGAAAACTCTTGCGATGATGTTTGCCATATACACACCCCTCGCAGAATGGTATTTCTGTTGAGAGCCCGGATATTGGAAATCCGTCTACTGTTTTCTTGCACATCATTTCTTTTAATGTTTTGAAGTTCACATGGCCCATACGCTGATGCCAAAGCATGATTGATTCAGTTTGCACTGTGTTTAAAGTTGCGTTCAAGATAGGAACCATGTTCATCTTATATAAACGATTTTCACGCACGCCGTCAACTATTACTCGATCAGATTTCATAAAGCAAACGCGCTTTGCACCCTCTTCGAAAACTACTCTCATACCTTTCTCGGTTATTCTGCTAACAGACAAAAAATTCATATCAAGTTCATGCACCAATAGACATCTTTAATTGTATGAATAAACTTCTCCTGATTCATTGCATACACTTCAATATCTCCGATACCGCAAACGTCCAGCCTTCGACCGTCACCAACTTTTACCTGGCATGCATTAGTGGAAAATTCCCGAAAATTCTTTAGTAGCTCCCTCAGGAATGTCATGTGGTCTGTGGCTCCAGAATCCGCGTAAAATATGTTTTTCATTTTATTTTGTGTGGTATTCGTTTGCAAGACAAACAAGTGTGTATTTTCAGCATTCTTTTGTTTGGAGCTATTTGAACCGCTAGATTTCAAACCAGTTTCTCTCTCTAGAGCAAGTGAGTGCTTTTCATTAGATATGCTATTTTGACTATCACGTTGCTTTTTAAAACATTCTCGTGCCCAGTGCCCTTCTTTATGGCAATAGTTGCAGCTTCCACTACGTTTAGTGCGCATCTTTGGCTTTTTGTTGAACTTATTCACTGAATATGCAGTCTTTACCGTGTCATCTTCAACGTGGTGAGCTGAGCGTAAATTCATTAGTGACTCTTCATTTACTAAATGATCGGTTAGTCGTTCGATATTCTGTTCTGCCCGGGGTACTGCATACCAAGCAGTTCTTACATGGTCATATTTAGACGGCAAACTGCTTAAAATTTTTGCAATAACCATAGGCTGTTTTTGTTCCATATCCATGTCTTTAAGTCTTTGTGCTAAAGACACAACTCTCGCTACATAATTAACAATGCTCTCATCCAAATCCATTTTGCAGTTTATAAATTTTTCTAACAGCACTTGCGCCGACTGCTCACATTTCTCGGAATGTACGATTTTCAGCTTTGACCACATTTGTGCTGCAGTTGTACACTCCGTTAAGTATTTCAGCTGCTCCAACTCGATACCTCGCATTATAAAGGCTTGTGCCTCCGCATCCTTCTCATCCCAGATACGTGAATTTGCTTCTGTACGCTGTGTAGTGCCTAAAATATATTCCTTCAATTTGTTCTCAGTCATGTAAATCTCCATCTGTCTGTTGGTAATTCTGCCCGTTGAAGCGGTGTATTTGATATGCTCTTGACTCAGACATAGTACATAGAGAAAATTACTTGATACAAAAATTATAGTATCATCAACAGTATCGTTTCCTATCGCAGAATCACCAAACGTTTCGTTGCTTTTATCTTCGCTCATATAACAAAACTCATAAGTGGGGCTCTGGGCCCATAACCTGTTGTAATTATACTCGAATAAGAATAATTAATGTAAATATGATTTATTAAGTAAATTCAGATTTGTTACAGAGTTTTACGTGATGACTTGAACGCAGCAAAAAACGAGAGAGAGAGCGGAAAAGGAAATTCAGTTTATGTCAAATATACAGTCCAAGAAGCATACATATGTTACAAAAGATAAATTTAGTACATGTTGTTGCCACACGTTTTATTTTACAAAGCGCTATATACTTAACACTTTTTATAAGCGTAAAAGTGTAAACTTATAATAAAGGTTCAAAAAAAGTTTTTTATTAGCGTATCAATATAAACTTACTAAAAATTTTCAAAAGCAAGCTTTTTATAAACATTTTTATAACCCTTTATTTAAAGATATTTCATTAAAAACTCATACATAGATTGCTTAACATCTAGAAACTAAACGAAATGCGAATTTTCGGCGGACTCATCTACAGTCGCGAAAATATAAATAGGGAATAGACATTTTAGCACACAAATTCACAATAACACATACAAATTAAGCATAAAAAAGTTAATTATTACATCTTGTTGCGTGCTTTCAATTATTTGCGGTTATTGGCAAATTGGAAAAGCGACATCGATGCAGCTATATATTCCGCTTCATCGCCGCCATTCTCATTGATGAACTTTTCTGAAAAAAATTTAATACATTTTTAATTGAATGTTAAACTAAGAAAGGATAAGGGGAACTCATCATTTGAAGACTCGAATGCTCCACCGATTAGCGCAGCGGGTCCTTGATTGGATTTTCTTGTTTTACCGCATTGGTTTTATTTAATTTTTTCTTTTAATAATATATTTAAAAAAACGTAAACACGTCATTTACTACTTCATGTCGTTGACATTTACATTTCATTTATAAGTTTAAGTTATTTATAAACATTCGCTCTCAAAACTTATTAAAGGTTTATTTGAAAAAACTTTTAATAAGCTTAATATTAAAAATGCTTATTTAACGCTTATTATAGCAAACTTAATTTAAGTTATTTTTAAAAACGTTTACTGAAATGCTTGTTGGGCATTGTTTAATCGCTATACATACGCACATATATACTCACATCTAGTTAGCGAATATAAATACATAGAAACATATTTAACGGTTGGTTGGCGAGCAATATTCCTGTCTATTCTTGTTAAATAAAAAAATTAAAAAATAAATACCATTGGTTTATACATTGTTGAGAAAAATCAATCATCTTCAATTTCTAATTTGTGGTTTGGTGGGAAATTCTGCTTTATCATAGCACTATTAAATTGGGTCATAATAACAGAGGTTTTGCGTTGTGACATACATCCATACTTATATTAATATTTCATATCGGCATTCGTTGAGCTGTTTACCGGTGATATACTTCTGAAAGTTTTTTGTGAGGTGGTAATTACGCAGATAAAAATAAAATCAAAATGGAAACATACATCCGCTTAGCCGATTCGGTCATTGAATTCGACATAGATTTTCTGGGAACTCCCACAGGCGAGCATACCAAACATTCGCTGAGGATCCAACAAAGCGAGCTTAGCGTCATGTGGGAGAAAGCCAAAGTTTTATTTGACGAACTCCTGGCAGCTGAAACGACTACTGCCAGAGATCTTAGTACTATTCGAAAGAAAAATAAAACTTGCTACGCGGCTTTCGTGCGGTGTATGACGAAAATTAATGAATATTCGGAAAAGTTGGAAAAGTCTGAAAAAGAAAATGGAGGACATGTCAGGCGCGTCACATAATTTGCATCTTCCGCCGTGCGATTTCGATGTTTTCAAAAGCGATTACTTATCATGGCCAACTTTTCGTGACATGTTCACGCCATTTATATGACGAACAAACGGCTTACACCCATTCAAAAGCTTTATTATCTTAGTCAAAAGACACAGGGTGAAGCCAGAGAAATTGTGCAAAAGTGTGACCTCACAAATGAAGGCTTTAATGTAGCCTGGAAAAATTTGTGTGATAGGTATGAGAATAAAAGGATCATAGTGAATACTCAGTTAAAGATCCTCTTTAACCTACAGGCAGTGGAAACTGAGTGTGGGAGTTCAATTAAAAGGTTACAAAGAGATATAAATAATTGCATATCCTCATTAGAAAGCCATAAGATTAATATTTCAAGCTGGGATCCAATTATCATATACCTATGCTCTACAAAATTACCTGAGGAGACCCCTTCGCTATGGGAACAGCCAGTACAAAATAAAACGGATATTTCTAAGTGGACCGATATGGACCAATTTCTTTCTAGTAGGTTCCAAACTTTGGAATCGGTGTCTGGTTTAAGAGGAATCAAGGTTACAAAAGCTACAAAAGTTCAAAGTCATAAGCATTCCTCTGAACCGTCACACAAAAAACTTGGCACGTTTCAAACTATTGTGACCAAATATACATGCGAAATGTGCAAAAGCAATGATCACAGACTACATCTGGGTCCAAAATTCCTGAAAATGTCCATAGCTGATAGGATCTCCTTTGTTAAACAGAATAATAGTTGTTTGAATTGCTTGTCTTTCAGGCATTCGGTGTCGAAGTACACGAGTTCACACAATTGTGTCAATTGCCACTCTCGACATCACACCCTTCTCCACAAACAGACAACTCCAGGTAAATCATCTGTAAAAGGAAAGACAGTAGTTTCTGTAGACAATTTGCCATCGACATCCCGGCAAGCACAACAACGTAACCAAGCCTCACAAGGTAAAGCTAAACATGTAAAAAACGTGCAATCACATCACGCGAATACATGCAAAGGTGTTTTACTCGGCACAACGCGAGTAAGTATTCATTTTAATGGCACAGAATTTGCTGCCAGAGCATTAATTAATTCCGGCTCTGAGTGTTCCTTCATAACGGAGAGGCTCAGACGCAGAATCAATTTGCCATCAAATAAGATGTTGGCCATTGACCCACTTATCTCGATTGATGCCCTAGTCCTTGTTCTTCCAAGTCTTACAGGAAACTTGCCAACGTGTGATATCAGCACTCACACAACAAGCATTTCCTGATCTGATTTTGGCAGACAAAAGATTTTTTGTGAACGAACAAGTCGATCTTGTTCTTGGAGGAGACATATATCCTCAAATCATTCTAGGTGGAATAAAAAAGAATATTTTGAATACTCTTTTAGCACAAGAAACAGTTTTCGGTTGGATACTGACTGGTCGTGCTGATGTAGCCAGCCCAACCAACAACAATTGTGTTTCTTTTTATAACGAGGTTGCCCTTGATAAGCAGCTTAGCGCCTTCTGGGAGATAGAAGATTTTCCAAAAAACAAGACACTAACGCTTGAGGACACACAGTGCGAGGAGCTGTACAAGCGGACAACAAAACGGAGCCAAGATGGAAGGTACATTGTTTCACTCCCTTTCAAAGCTGAGTACCCATATGAAATTCAACTGGGCCCTTCACTGAAACGAGCATGCTCTCAATTTTACAAAAATGAGACAAGGCTTACGAAGAATCCAACTCTACAAAAGGAATATAACCGAGTTATAGTGGAGTACGTAACCATGGGACACATGTGTAAAGTGAACGCACCTCAGTCAGTGGATGCGGTGGATAACTATTATTTACCGCACCATGCGGTGGTGAAAGAAGAGAGCACATCAACCAAAGTTAGAGTAGTTTTCAATGCGTCGTCTTGTTCGGCCAATGGAGTTAGTTTGAACGATGTACTTCTCCCTGGACCAGTGCTTCAATCTGATCTACCGATTTTGATTCTCCGCTGGAGACTTTTTAAGTACGTCTTTAATAGCGATATTGAGAAGATGTACAGGCAAATCCTTGTAGATGAAACCCAAACAAAGTGTCAGAGGATAGTTTTTCGCAAATGTTCAAATGATGCAATAGGTCTTTACGAATTAAATACGGTTACTTTCGGTATAAACTGTGCTCCTTATCTTGCGTTAAGGACATTGCATCAACTCGCTGAAAACTCGGAAAATCTCTACTCTACAGCCTCAAATATTTTACGTAAAAATATGAATGTCGACGACGTTCTATCTGGAAGACATACTTTAGATTCTGCAATCAAAGCTAGGGATGAGATTTCCGCAGTTCTTAAGTCACTTGGTTTTCCTCTGAGAAAATGGACTTCAAATTGTAACAAAATCTTGCAAGGTATACCAAAACAAGATCTACTGAATGAGGATTTCCTAGAGTTCGAAGATACTAGTAGCGTCAAAGCACTAGGCATAAGGTGGAATGCTCATTCCGACCAATTCTACTTTATAGCTAAATCGATAGAAGATAACGTGAACCCAACAAAGAGAGCAATCTTGTCAGCTATGGCTAAACTCTTCGACCCATTAGGTTGGTTAGCCCCCATAATAATTGTAGCGAAAATCTTAATGCAAAATATATGGTTAGAGGGTACCAACTGGGACGAGGAAGTGTCGTCTTTAACTTTAGAAAGATGGCGAAATTTTACAAAAAAATTACGGCGAAATAGATAACATAAGGATACCTCGTTGGGTGTCTTTCTCGCCAAAAGGAAAAATCGAAATTCATGGATTCTGCGACGCATCTGAAAAGCGTACACTGCCGCAGTCTACTTACGCGTGGAAAAAGAAGACAAAGTACTTGTTAATCTGCTATTAGCAAAAACTAGAGTAGGCCCAGTCAAAACAATTTCCTTGCCTAGATTAGAACTGTGCGGGGCGGTATTACTGTCAGAAATAGTCAAATCAATTACCAAAAATCTTGAATTAGGCAACCTAAACATACATCTGTGGACTGATTCGACGATTGTTCTGGCATGGATACGCAAGCCCCCATGTTCGTGGTCAACCTTCGTTGCCCACCGAATTACAAAAATTATAGACAAAGTAGGGAACTTGAACTGGCTTCATGTTGACTCAGCTACAAATCCCGCAGATTTAGCAAGCAGGGGCATACTGGCAAACGAATTGGTCAAAAATTCTTTGTGGTGGCAGGGACCTTCTTGGCT